ATTGTGTGAGAGATATATGGTTCCTATTCCAGCAACTCTTGAGCGTGAACCATTGGCAATACGCACCGTTTGATAATCCTGACATGGAGTATAAGTTGAGAACAGTGATCTATCACCTGTCATGTGATCTGATGCGCCTGAATCTACTATCCAAGATGTTGAAGGTAACTGTGCCACATGAAGTGCCTGGTTTCCATTATTGTGCACAGATCCGTTCCCTGTCCCAATTGGTAATGGATTGGCTGACAGATTTACCTTGCTAATCAGGTGCTGAAGCAGTTCCAACTGGTCCTTCGTGAAAGGGATTTGGTTTTGGGATTTAGTTGCTTCTATGGAGACTGCATTTACTCGACTCTCACAATCGCCAGCAGCCCTGTTTGGCTTCCAATCTGGTGGCTTTCCATGTAACTTCCAGCAGGTTTCTTTAATGTGGCCTGGCTTCTTACAATGGTCGCACCAAGGACGTCCCCTTCGTGGTCGATTTACACCGGGAGTCTGAAACATCCCGCAAGCGACACGGCACCATGGACACGTGGTCTTTGGCAGCAGTAAGGGCTGAGCCATCAGTGGATGCAGGTATATTAGAATGTCCTATCATGACTCGTTTTGGGCTCTCCTCTCGACGTACCTCGAAAAAGACTTCTCGGAGACTTGGTAGGGGCTTGGTTCCGAGTGTTCGACCTCGCACCTCATCAAGGGACTTATCAAGACCCATCAGAAACTTGAAGATGCATTTGGTCTCCACTATTTTCTTGAAATAGGTAGTGTCATCAGGACATTTCCATTCGTAAGATTCAAAGAGGTCCAACTGTTGCCAATACCGCATCAGAGTGGTGAAGTAGGTGGTGACTGTGTTTTCTCCTTGCCTTAGATCATGTAGGATACTCTCTACATGGAAGAGTTCAGCAGTATTCTCACTGCTAGAGAAGGTGTCACGGGCTACATCCCATATTTCCTTGGCTGTAGTGTAGAGGAGGAAGTTTTCACCTATCTCTGTAGTCATTGAACTAATTAACCAGGACATGAACATGTTGTCTTCTGCCCTCCAAACTTTGAATCTGGGATCACTTGAACTTGGTTGGACAGCAGCACCTGTAAGATAATCATCTCGGCTTCGTCCACTGATAAACATCATTATGGATTGAGACCATTGGAAATAGTTGTTGCCATTGAGTTTGTGGTTGATTATAGAGGTAATATTGTTTTCGGGAGTGGTCTGAGACGAAGATGACTCCCTGGAAGTCTGCTCAGATTCGGCTATTGTGGACGAGATTTCGAAAGAGAGATAGGTAGAACTAGATTGTCACAAAGGTGACAGAGAAATGTGAATTGAGAATAGGTTAGGGCTGGCGGCCAGACAAATGAAAAATTAGGTTTCAGAAGCCTGTGGCCCTGATACCATGAAGCAGAATAGAATGGGAATTTTTCTCAATGATCAATTAGGTACAATACGAGTACATATATATACACAAGGATATGTGGAGAAGATCCTGATTTCTAGGAGTTGACCTGATTCCTAGGAGCTAATTTACACTATTTAAGGAAAGTAAATTACAGCTATATACAAAAGATTAATATCCCTAAAATATAGATCCACAATTATAAGAAACTAACAATTCCCTTATGCGGCTAGTTTGAATTCCTACAGTTCCAGTTCCATTTTACAAGATACCCACACTGGGTTCAATTCGTATCTTTTTGGAACCGGATCTAACAGGATCACGCCCGCCCCTATTTTTTTAATTATTTATTCAAGTTTTTTCCTTATCATGGGTAACTAATTCGATGTGTATACCTTATTGCGTACAGATATTAAAGAAACGCTCTTAAGATACCAAGACAACATACCAAGAAGCTTGAACCTCTTGTATGGACTCCTCTTTACACTTCAAGTGAGATAAATCCTGAGTATTTTTTCACATGGGTTTGGCTTTTCCAGCGACCAAAAAATGTGGTCGTTTAATAGGAGACGCCGCTAGCTGTTAGTAGTTTTCAGCAACCAACATTCAGTTGGACGCTGAAACACTTGTCGCGACAAATCCCACCTATTTTTTCACGGGGGTTTGGCCTTTCCAGTGACCAACTAATGTGGTCACTGAATAGGACACGTCCCCAGCAACCATACAATGGTATGTATTTAATTATTTTGAATATATTGTTGATTAACTCTTCCTATTCACAACATTTATTTTGCTTAAATATTTCTTAGGTCCTCTTCATAAATAAAATAAAAAAAAAACATTGAATTAGTCGAAGGTTGACATCACAAAGAATAATGCATGCAAATAAGAAAAAACTTGTACAAGCAAGAGAGTGAGATATACGTACATTTCGTGAAACGTCCTCTCCATTCGCCAATAAGATGCATCATCATGCCAAACATTGTTTTGCAACGCTGTTGGAATGTAGCAATTCCTCTGAATTTTAATACTTAACAACAAAGCTTCCAATGAAATATATATGTCTGCCAATAAGATATGAACCCTTATAAGTTCCTCACAAAGAATGCATTTGTCTGTTAGGAACCAAGAATAGCACTGCAGCACGTATTCGGCCAGTACAAATTTAAGACAAACCGATAAGATTTACTTGAAAAAGTTAATGAGATTCGCAATATAAGCGGATTTGGATTTTAAAAATATTGATGAAGCATCAAAGTATTCATCAAGTTGGATAACCATTTTTTTTAATAAAAAGAGCTAACCTTATATTCTGCATCCTGAAGTAGAAGTTTCCCCACTATTGAGAAGGCCCTTGTTCATGCTTTGCAATGTGCTGTTTATGAGCCCATTCCTGGTGATGCAGCAAGGCACAATCAATGTTCAAGATTTATTATATTCATTACTCTCTAGTTTATAACTACACAGTTCGAGACAATTTTAACATTAGAAACTCAATATTGACAGTACATTTGGCAATTCTGGATCCTGTATCAATTATCCTAATGCAATATGATTGGACTGGGGCAATACATGTTTGGCTTAAGCTTATGATACTGATACTGCATTTTCTTGGTAACACGGTTTTTCTTCCTCAGTTCACTGTAGGTGGTATGGTACTAGAGTCTATGATCTGCATTTTAATTTTCATGTCAGTGAAGTGAAAGTTTTAAATTACGTAATATTTAGATCCAACATGTGGAATTATATAATTAAAAGCAATAAGTCACTTTTTAATTGTTTGTAGATGATTAGATCAAACAAGTCAATTTATCCTAAGTTTGAATACCACAATCAATAATTAAAGCAATAAAGAACACCAAAAATGATCATGGAAAAACCCAATTGAGTAAAAATTCTGGACACTTTGCCGTCAGTAATCCACTATAAATCAAAACAAACTTATGGTACAATCCAGACCCATCTACCCCGTAAAACTTTTGACATCAATTCATGCAGTCTTCCTTGATTCTACTGGAGGTGTGCTCCTTCAAAATAAATCCCGACTTCTGGTTTATGCCTTAGCTCTCGTGACTGTGTGCTCCTGATGCCAGATCACAACTCATGGTATCTCACCTTAGTCCTGGATTTGTGCTTCTGCAACAGCTCCCGATCCCTGATATCGATTTATCTTCGATGGATTAGGTGGTTTGATGTTTGATCAAAAGATCTTATGTATTTTGATCTTGTAATTTATATGAAACTATATGATTTGGTCAACAAAATATGTTTTAGAAGAATTTATGGATCAAGTAATATGTAGTGGTTGAATCTTGGAATCAATAAATGTTTTGGATCATTAAAGAATTGATCTCTATGAAAAATATGATTCAACACACTTGTGGACGTTCATAGGATATGATATATATATATGGGGAAAAGTGTTTGGGATGTTTGAAGCAAAACAGATTTCTGAACGTCGACCCATCGCTCGAGCATCAATCCACGGCAAGCGAGCAATAGTTGAGTAGTTGTCAGTATTTTTATCATAACTTTCTCTCTCGATATCCGATTGAGGTGATTCAAAATAAGTTACAAAGCTAACTCAAAATGTTACAATTCATCTAAATAAACGTGTCCAAATTCAATTTTTTTCTATGTGAAAAATGCATTGTAAATTACAATTGAGAATTTGGAGCATAACTTATATGACTTTTTGATACTCTTTAGACTTCTAATTGCAATCTCTTGATCATATGTGATCTTCTTGGAAATATTGGACTCCTTCAAGACCTATACTGCCAATTTCAACTTTTTTGCTATAATTAGAATTCAATAACTCAGATTTTGACTTTTATTACAATTTGATAAACTCCTAATACAATTCAACTAGAACATGATTTTGACTAAGGAATTGCCAATTATAAATTTCGGAATTGGCAATAATAATTTGGACTTAACATGAAGAATTAATGCCTTCAGGTAAACAAAACCGTGCCAAGGTCTTACGGTAGAGCGTAACCCTGATTTTGTGTTGCCCATACCTCATTTATGTATGCAAACCTACATTTTTGTTCTGTACTAGAACTTACCTTTACTCTTACCAAGTCACTTCTTGTAAGCAACTTACTGAATGTTCACAAGTTTCTACCTAGTTTTCTGGACATCATCCATATGACATGCTTCTTGGTTTGGCCACACCTTACTACCATTGATTTTACTGTAAAGAGAAGATAATTAGCGTTTGAAGGTAGAACAAGAGTGTTATAGCATAACAGGTCCTTTCTGCAACTTGCTTTTCCTACCTCCAGCTCAATCCTGAGTTTGGACTCCTTTTACAGAAAAATCTCAAACAACTAGAAAGAAAATTTGATGTATACCAGCACACCTTTTATGAAAATGAAGAGACTCCTTTTGTATTGCCCCGTATATTTCGACCACATTTTTGTCATACTTATTAAAGGATAAATCTCACATTGGTTAAATACCTAAATATAGACTAATATATAGGGAATTGGGCTACTCGTTTTAATAGGGTTGATCTTTTAGGATGGAACCCCAAGTTTTAATATGGTATCAGATTCATTAAGCTCCAACAAGTAATTCGATCCGATTACAACTAAAAAATGAGCACACCGAATTTCAAGATTGGTCTACTCGAATGAGCAATCATCTTGCGAAAACATATTAAGGGATAAATCCTACATCAGTTAAATACCTAAATATAGACCAATATATAAGGAATTGTGTTACTCTTCTTAATAAGGTTAGTTTTTTAAAATGGAATCTCAAATCTTAATAATACCATGAAACACTTCATCCATCTTCAGTGCAGAAGCAGCACGAACAGCAGGGGAAAGTTGCAATCTCATTTCCATACAGTGCCCAGTAATTGAAAAAGCTCACAACCATGAACATCACGTACAACTTGGTATTTTATATATGTAACATAAATAGGAATGAAAGTGTGCCTTACACAGTAATTCTAGGGTGAAATAATTGCACTTGTTGGACCTACAATGGAGGACATCTGTCTGCCAGCTTCTTTCTTCAATTTAGATTTTGTCTCCAAACCACTGTTTCTACAATAAATCTTCTGTGAAGTCTGAACCAGAACTCCTGCCCACTTATAATGACCTGTGGAAAATTGAAATATAGCTTTCTGATGTATCCGTTGTTCTCATTGAATTTTTGTTTTCCATGTGAAATTGCATATTTTGCTTCTTGAATTATCTTTGTTCAAGTCTCCAAGTTGAATATTATGTATGAGCAAAATCAAAGTGATAATGTTTATGTTTATCGACTCATATGGTCGACAAATAGATGAGCAATCAACTTATATTTTTGCTTTTTTTTTCAGTGCACTCAGTAAGATCCAGTTGATCACATTGAATTATTGAGGATGCATTCCATAGCAAAAGAATTAGATAACCAACTAGTTAAGTTGTGATTGTTGAGAATTATAAACCCTCTATTTCACGCAAGATTTATAGAGGATCGGGTCTCTATACCCAAGCCATTATCATATCTTACGTACTGTCCGCTTTGCGAGAGTTTAGGCCCATCTTATCCCTCACGGCTTTCTGACGCATCCCTTAGGATTCGAACTTAAGACCTCCATCATATCGGAAACTTAAGTTGAATCCTAGTACCAATTGGGCAAACAAACGACCTGGGTCCTACTTAACGGGCTGTCTCGAACGTTAGATTGATGACGTACTGTCCCCACTGTACCAACATGGGTCTTTTCAGCATGTTTTATCCTCACTCACACGTTCCCCAAGAAACTTTCCAATGGGTCACTCATCATAGAATTGCTCCAAGCCAGACACGCTTAACTGTAGAATTTCTAACGATAGACTTTCGAAAAAGAAGGTGTACCTTGTTGGTATGAGTAGTACCTATCAAATATTTTTAAGCTTTCCTGGTGGGTATTACAATCACCCCCCGTTAGACTCGCAACGTCCTCTTTATCTCTTAGTTCCCATTGTGACATCACCTCTTTAGACTTATTTTTAGAATTCAATTTTTCAGTCTTCAAGTAGGTTCTTGGTACCGTTTAAAAGTATTCATGACCAACTTTCGCACCACATATGTTGGATTGAACATCCATTAAAGGGCAAG